GGTGTTTGGGGTGAGTTTGAACTGAGGAGAAGTGACTGAAATGACAGGTGGGAAGTGGGGACATGATCATATTGAGTGAGAAATTTAAACCTAAGGTAGGGTCATAGGACATTTGAATCCATGGGGGGAGACAGAAAGAGGAGATATTGGAAAATATCAATGCATATGTATTTCATTGGAGTTCAAATTCTATATAGTAAAGGGTCTGTTTGGTTGGTGAGATAACGGATAATAATTTTGGGATTAGACGTAAGATTATTTTATCCCTCACATTTGGTTGAATTTTCGAATTTAGGATTAATAATTTCGGGATTAATTTATACCACAATTGTGATATTATTCTATATAGTAATTTCCGGATTAATAATCTCAGGATAAAATACTTTAACGACAAAGTCTTTTTCAAGACTCTTTCCTCAAGTCCTTTAATTAGAAATAAAAGTTTATCTCAGCTTATTTAGCAAACACCAAATGCATGCTTATTTAGTCATATGAATCAAACATCTATCAATAAAAATATATCATTAAATAATCTCGTTACTATTTGATCTTCCGTATTATAATCACGTCATTATAAGTCTGTGATAACTTGCCTAACCAAATAATCCCTAATAGTGTAAAAATATTTACATATTCATATTACTTATAAAGTAATTACACGTAAATCTATATAATAAACATCAATTTTTAATCTAGTAAAATTGATGGCTAACTTTAAAATATATTGGTAGTGTAAAAATTCTTTATGCGGTCCGTGTATATAATTTAAGTTTAATTAATTTTAGAGGAATATCAATGCTAGATTTACACGTAAATCTCTATGATATATATTATGTATTAATCCTTGATAGTTTTTGCTCATTTCCCTGAATACAATATGAAACATCCCAAAGATTCTCCAAATTATTAATATATATAATAAAAAAAAAGGCTTATATATTCGTAATTTCACTTATATGGAAGAGTTATGAAATTCTAAATATAAATTGATATACAATCTGTTGTTGTTGGTACGGGGAGAGAAATTTCTGAAATCAGTCGTTTCTTCAGTGTTTCTTTGCTTCTCTTTCCGCCTGAAAACATTTCAAATTCACAATATGAGCTAGTTTGGACATAAGAAATTTTTTTCATTTTTTTCAAAAAAATTCAGTGTTTGTTTATAAAATTTACAATTTTCACTTGAAGATGCATTTTGAAAATTTTTAAAAATTTAAAAAACTCCAAAAAGTTATTTTTCAAAATTTTTACTCACAAAACTTCAAAATAATCCAAAATTATATGCATGTCCAAACACAACTCTAAATTTCAAATATCATTTTCACTTGAAAAAATTTTCCCCCCTATTTTGGAATTTTACAATTCTTATGTCCAAACGCCCACTAAGAATTCTTAGTGGGCGTTTAGACATAAAAATTGTAAAACCCCGAAAAAATTAAAAAAAAAATTCAAGTGAAAATAATATTTAAAAATTAAAGTTATATTTGGACATGAATATAGCTTGGGGTTGTTTTTGAATTTTTGCGAGTGATCTGAGCGAAAATTTTGAAAAATAACTTTTTGGAGTTTTTAAAATTTCCGAAAAATTTCAAAATTCATCTTCAAGTGAAAATTGAAAATTTCATGGTCAAACACTAATTTTGAAAAAAAGTAAATTTTTTTCCAATGGATTCATTAGACCAAAACACGCATATATATAAAAAAAATTCATTCTTTAGTAATATACTGTCAATGTATAGAAATTAAACTGGTTCGTACCGCTTTGACGACCTTATCAAAGGCATCAGGTCCATATTTTTCTATGTATCTCTCAACTGCTTTTCTTGCATCTAAGCTCATCATTTGAAGAGCCTTTCTTTGATTTTCAGGATAAGTTGAGCTAATTTGACTCCCAACTTTAACATGTCTTCTTATAAAATTCTCATGTATATAAGCTGCTCCATTGAAAATTGGTAGCACCAACCACATACAACATACAAGCTTGATGTATGGCCAAAATGGAAGCCTGTCAATGACATTACAAATGTAATATGATCAAATTCAGCTAGAGGCGGAGTCAGGATTTAAAGTTAGCGAGTTCGTGATTCTAGTTTTTTAAGTTACTGAGTTTTAAATGAATATTTTAAGATAAATACAGGGTTTGAATCAATGCTACTCCATTCGACCGAACCCATTATTGAAGCTCTAGCTCCACCACTGAATCCATAATATACAAAATATACACTGACAGTGTAATAGAATGTTTATAGGTTATCTAATTAAAGATGACTCTATGGAATCGTTCATTGTAGAAGGTGACTAGTAATATGAAAAATAAGGCAAGTAACATAACATATATAAGATGAAGAAATTCATGCAGAGGTAGAGTCAGGATTTAAAGTTAGTGAGTTCGTGATTCTAGTCTTTTTAAGTTATTGAGTTCTAAATGAATATTTTAAGTCAAATAGAGGATTTGGAACAAAGCTACTGAATTCGACGGAATCCATAGCCGAAGCTCGAGTTCGCCACTGAATTCAGGATATACAAAACTATACAATGATCATTTACTTGAATGTTTTTAGGTCATCTAAAGATGACTACATGTAATCGTTCATTGAAAAAGGTGACTAGTAATCTGAAAAATAAGGCAAGCAACATAATATAAGACGAAGGGGAGTCTTGGAGCAACAATAAACTCGCTAACATATAACCTAGGTCACATGGGTTTTAAGCCGTAAAATCAGCCAATGATACTTGCATCAGGGTAGACTGTTACATTACACCCTCTTGGGTGTGATCCTTTTCCGGACCTTGCGTAAACACGGGATACTTTGTGCATCGGACTGTCCTTTTTATCCATTTATATAAGTTAGAATTCACAAAATTAATTCTCTAGCTAGATGGTTGTACATAATATTTTGTTACCATTGGAGGATTTTCCAGCAAGATAACTCAAAAAGAGTTATAAATGAGTAGAGAACCCAATAGGTTAGCCATTGTTGATCATCTAGTGGTGAAGGGCTCTCAATTGCTCGCATAGAAGAATACCTATTCATTGAAAATAAATTAATTAGTGACACATAATGTCGTGTATTCTATATATTGTGGATTTTTACTAGCAACTAAATTATATGGCAACTTACAAAGGATAAAGAAGCTCCACTCCAGGGCTGTTAAGAAAAAGGAGATGGAAAATTAAAAAGTTAGGTCTTAATTTTCCAAAATTACAAAAAATAACCAATAAAAATGAAGAAAATATACAATAGTCTTCAACCATATTTTGCAGAAAATTAGCATGCATGTTGAACATATATGGTTTTTACAATATAACAAAATGGTCATATAGTGTGTGTATATGTATATATATATAGGGAGAGATATAAAAAAAAAGACGGTTTTTATATAGAAAAGATTAACTCTGTATAGTCACTGTAAAAATAAAAGCGGAATAAATGTATACAATTTGTATATTTTTTTTATTATATATATATTTTGTATATTATATACAAAAATTATACAATTTTTATACACTTTTTCGACTATCAAATATAAATAATTTTTAATGCGGGCTAAAAGTGATAATACCCCTTTTATATACTTAAGAAGGTTTTTATATAATAGATGTAAAAAATTTAATATAAATGAATAAAATTTGTAAAAAGCATATAAAACTAAAAATAAATTTACGAAAAAAAATACCCGATTAGCCCATTCAAACTCTTAGCAATAGTTCCAAGAGCACCCATTGAAGAAATGTTTTTCTTACTTTGCTCTCTTGCCTCTTGAAAATTTGATCTCTTTAATTTCTTTTTATCCAATGAGAAAGGAAATTATGGAGAGAAGTAGGGAATATAAAAAATATTCAAATAGTTGCATGATTTTATATACGTACTAATTATTAGGTATTTGGTAGATGAGAGAAGCAAGTAAAGGATATCTTTTCAAAAGAGAGAAAGTCTTCTTTTCTCCTTCATGAAGGAATGAGAATATGGTCAAGAAATTAAAGTGGAAATTAACACATGAGAAAGTGGTTGATTATATTCTTCGTTCCTATAATTACACACAACCTTGCCTCTACCTATACGTCAACTATAATCTAGATTTTTTTCCGGTTTTTATCCGATATTTGGTATTTGTATTAGGGTCCGATAAATCTGGAGTCGCGCTGGAAAACCCTATATTGGGGTAAAACGCTTCTTAACAAACGTGATTTTGTATCCCGGGTTCGAATCTAAGACCTTTGAATAAGAATAAAGGAGTACTTACCACTCTACCATAACCTTTATTAATTACGGAGCTCTAATTTGCCTCAACTTGACCTCTACTTATTGCTCTTGAACTACGTGAAATGGTATAGCTCAAGGGCAAATTTAACCCTTTTTCTTGTAAAAAAAAGACCCACACATTAGATATGCGGCATTAACAATCAGGGGCGGATTTAGGGGGCGCAAGGGTGTTCACCCGAACACCCTTCGCCGAAAAATTACATTGTATATATAAGGCAAAATCTGTTTTTTATCTCTATATATTAAGTTTTGAACNAAAAACGACACATAATGTAAATTTAAAAAATATTCGAAGATATCCTTATCTTATTATCTATGTATTTGAGTTGAGAAAAATATATTTGAAATCGATGAGATTAAATTTCAAATTTTTTATACTCAACAAAGATGAAAACATAAGAAGAAATTTGTTGTCATCTTCTATTTCTCGTTTTTAGATCTTTCTAACATTTTTTCAATATTTATTTTCTTTTATCTTGTTTTTTATGTCATTATTTCTGTTGTTACAAAAAATTAATTTATCTCACTATAAAAGGATGAGTTTAAATAAAAATTGTCTACATATGAATTTTAATTATATTTTTAGTCTTTGGTTGAAATTATTTCATATTTTCTTTTGGCTTCATCTAATTAGCCTAAATAAGTGCTCACTCCATCACTTAAATTAAAAAATTGAATGATGTGTAATTTATATATAATCCAAATATAATATGTGTATAATCATGTGTTGTCAGTATATCTTCTATTTATATTAGCTATAAAAAGTAAAGATATTATGTAAATATTTCATTAGATTTCAGTTTTTTGAGTTTATCCATGATATAACTTCTATTATAATAATTTTAAAGCTCTCTAGTAATGTTCAAAAATATCTTATCTTTTTATTATCTTTGAATTAAAAAAAGCAAAGAGATTTTCGAAATAATTTGTTTGCATTTTTTTAAAAAATATTTCACGTCATACCAATTTTTTCTTTATATATATTCTTTTTACACTTAAAAGTCGCTATAAAAACTATCAATTAGAAACCAATTTATCTCTTGTTGAGTTTGAAAAAAAAAATCACATAATCTAATGATTCAAAACTAATATTCTTCAAAGAAAAAAATATTATACCCTTACAATATTAGCTTGACTACAGCTAAATGAAGAGGTTTCAGCTTATACCCTTCAATTCCTTGAATGTGCTAAATTGAAATTAATGATAGCAATTGTATAGCCAAAGTTTTGTTATTTGTTTGATATCCATTTATACAAATTGACTCTTCAAACAAATTTTCTTCAAGAAGAAAAAAGAAACAACTGTTTTTTAATATTGACAGATTTTGTGATATTTCTTTCTCCAGCATGTATGTTTACTTTATTATATATGTAAGCAAACTTTTATTTGGTTTTGTAAACTCTTTTTTGTTATTTAGATAAACATAGACGTATACCCTATATATTATATTTATTTTAAAAGAATTTTGTTTTATTCAAATCTAGCGATAGTGTTTCAAAGAACTATACTTATTGGATTTTAAATGTGAAAGAGTTTTATAGTTATATGGAGTTTTTTTGTTGTTGCTAGAGGCGAAGTAGTATTTAAATAATTATAAAAAATAACAAAAGTTCCTAACATGATTGCATATGATCATTAACCGAATTAATTATGATAATATGATAAAAAAAGATAATTTTGGAACTTTATCTATAAATTTAAAATATGATAAAATTATGGGTATCATTAACCGAATTAATAATATATATATAATATTTGTATTTAACTAAAATAGTTAAATATAGGATAAAGTTACCATGATATTTATTAGCTTGCTACTTGGCTTAACCATAATGTCAATTATATATGGTAACTTTCTTGCTTTAATATATATATATAGAGATTATATATAAATTATACATTTAGCGGTTACTTTTAAGAGAAATTTTCATAAAGCACTATCTTTTAGTAGTAATTAGCCATCTATAGATACCATTTGCTATATTACGGATTATAAATACCTTTTCTGTGGTTATAAGATGTATTTGATGGATTTAAGCTATTGTATTCATGAATACAGTAGCAAAAATAGGCATGAATCAGGGAAGTCCAGCTAATCGGTTGTTGTATTCGAGTGTATTCGACTATATTCATGGAGTAAAACGTGGCATTACAACTTAACGGATTATTGTATTCTTATTGTATTCGACTGTATTCACGACGTGAAATAGGGGATTACACTGTTTTTAAAGCGAAAAGTGAATCAATTAACATAACAGACTCCTAATATAACTCAACAAACTCAATTATAACATACAAATTTTGTATTTTCAGTTATAAAAAAGATTCTCAATCGAAAAATACCCCAAAAAAATATAGCAATCTTCAGAGAAATTATATAATACATCTGGATACATAAATTATGTTAATTAAAAAAACATATGAATACATTCATGGCATATAGCGAGATAATGAACACAATGAAATACATAGAATACAACGGGATACATTGAATACAATGAAAAAAAAGATAGTGAATACAATGAAATACATGGAATACAACAAGATACATTGAATTACAATGAAAAAAAGACAATGAATACAATGAAATACATTAAAATACATTAACAGAAAATATGTTGTTCAGCCCCAAACTCCGTCGTCTTTGTTCAAGAACAAACCCTAATTTCCGGCGAATCCGCCGTAGCAATGTTTGAAGATACAACACGCGACACCTTTGAGATTTGAAGATACAACACGCGTCTTCTTATTTTCATTACCTGCTTTTAGTGATTTGGTTAGGGATTTGATTTGCTTTTAGTGACCTTAACAGAGAAATCTCCTTTCTTGATCTCCTAAAATAACTCATAGCTATCAAATCCACCATCATTGTCCCAATTGCCGCAACCATTGCTATAAACCCTGCAAAAGGAAAATCACCCCACGGTTTTTCAGGAAGGTAAGGGCTAGACAAGCTCTCGAATGCATCGGGCAATATGTGGACGAAACTCGTGGAGAGAATTGATGACAGAGAAATCGTAATTCAAATTTTTCGGTGCAAGAATTGATCGGAATGAAAAGAAAATAGTGTGGGTAAGAGGAATTTTGAGATTGAGCTTCGTGTTTTCAGAGAATGGGGAAGAGAATGGGATGTATCAAAGTAGAGAGAGAAAAAAAATAGTATAACTGAATAACGTATTTAGTGACTTAGGGCTAGGAGGTAACCAAAATTAAATATTTTGTTATAAACCTTAAAAGGTATCTATAAAATATAATTTTTTTAAATGATATTTATTTAAAATAAATAAGGTGTTAACCTTTGCTTTGCTACCGGAGGTAAAAATTTCTACTTTTAAATTAAGCAGTTGGATGAACTTCTATTTAGGTTAATTCTTCAAAACGGGAACAGACAAAATGGGCCAAACAGATCGAAGATAAACCCAAACCGTAGGCCCAACAACTTGTCTCTTCGGGTTCGCGCCTTCTCTTGGCAACCCAACTTCACCAATTCTCGCTAACGAGACGCTCACTTTCACTCTCATCTCTTCGTTTATCACACACAATTACACCTTCACTATGTGATTTTCTTCACACAAAAAACCTTAACCGCTTACAAACAAACCCTAACTTCCCTCTGTAACAACGCCAACGTTCTTCAATTCTCGTAAGTCTCTCTCTCTCTCACACACACACACACAGAGTTTCTCTCTGTCTTTCTCTCTCTTCATGTCATGTATGGTAGTATTATAATTGAAGCTGTTGTTTTGGATATATTTAGACCCGAAGTCTGAAAGGATTTTGTGTTAATTTAGGTTTCGGATCCGATATTCATAAGGTTTTAATAATATGTGCTTCTCCGACCCGATTTTTTTTATTTTTCGTCTACCCTAATGAATCGGATTATGGGTCGGGTACTGGGTCATGGAGACCCGGTTTGGTTGGACGAAATTCACTATTTTGTTGAGTCGTTTACGCTATTGCTCTTTAAATTTTTCCTTTTAATCTCTAATTTGTGCTTAAAGTTTGCATCTTTTGTTTTTTGAACAATGAAATTTGCATCTTTTATTTCCAAACAATGTAGTGCTTTGTAAATTAAAGAGGAATTTTTTTTATGACTACCGGTGCCTGCTACCTCCCACTCGCATAGGTACCAGGTAATTTTGCCCAGCAAGATTTGAACAGATGGAAAAAATCACCTTGTGTTTTTTTAAATTAATGAGGAATTCCGGTGTTGTGTTGGCTAGAATTTCACTAGTGCCTAGTTTAGTTGTGAATTTCTTCTTATTATCTTAGGTGGGTTTAAGTATCGATATGGGGCAGAATGGATATTCATATTGTCGATCCCAACTAGTTTGGGATTGAAGTTATAGTTGTCTTGTGCTGCCTTAGATGGGTAGTTTGAAATTTAAAGGTTTCTAGCTTAATTTACCTTTAGAAAAACATTTGATAAAGCTGTAACAATAATTAGAAGACAGTTGAAAAAGCTGTAACAATAAATAAATAAAAAACAAAAACATTTGATAAAGCTGTAAAAAATTTATGTAAAGTCTAAAGTGTGCAGATTTG